AGATCCTCCATAGTGCCAGGCAGACTGTCTCGCCATTGCAAAGAAGCTTTCCTGCAGTGGGACTCTTCGTGAGGCCTAACCCTAAAACTCAAGCCAAAAACAAGAGCAAGGACTCCTCCCTCATGGGCCACGTTGCTCTTCGGATAACTCGACTTGAGCAGGTTGTAATCGTGCCAAGAGCCGCAGGAAAGTGAATGCGGACCAGTGTGACCGGGCAATGTGCCGTGGATGCGAGAACGTGCTTGTTGATGATATCGTTAACAAGGCAGGCTAAGTTGGACCTCTCCAAAGTTATAACACCATATTTCCACTACTATGTACCAATCTACAGGTTGTTCAGTATCACGCAAGTACCTGATTGAAGCATGGCGCGTATTGAAGTTCTTGAAATGCTCTGCGACTGAACCTTGTCAAAACTCTGTCTGCATCTCGATAGATACACTGAATCTTGATTTCTCACGCAACTCTCATATATTGAATAGGTAGATTTTGGTGACAGTCCTTACCTACATCTTGTGGTTCATTAGTTAGGTTTGTACTTGAATCGGAGTTTCCCATCCCATTCCGCGACGGGGCAGCCTAGTTTCATGTCTCCTTACAATTCGCGAACAGAGCGAAAAACCAAGACCCTAGAGCCTCATCTCCCGCATACACTAGTCAGAAAGCAGATTAATGTCAAGACCCCAACCTCTCCACCTTATCTATATCGGGGGATGTTAGACGAATAATAAAAACCATGTGATTGAGTCCTCGAATTGACATTACCACACAGATACGTACCGAACGAACAGTGGTTTCGCCGTCGGCACTCTGATCATAAATTCATCTCACTTTGTTTTACCCAGATACTTAAGGTACCTCAGGTTAGAAGGCAGGCGACTGTCAAGACCTAGCCTTCTTTTTTTTTTTTTTTTTTTGGTACAGGGAGTTAGGTACACCTTTCATGATGATTTCAGCATCCACAGTGTTTTGCCCCAATAACTGTAATATAGGTTGAGGACACATCCATCAACCAACCACGAAAACCAGAATATTTCCATCTACCCCGGACGGATTTCTAATTCTACCTTTCCCTTTTGTACTGTACATCCCATTACAAAGGGATGCGGTGTGATGTGTGGAACATGGTCAGGAAAACGATGCCCACTCATGGCACACCCTCTGATATTGGCAATACTCATTCATGACAACCTTAGGGTGATCCCAGAAGACCAACCCTGACCACAGCTGTTTAGGCTTAGCCAGTACTGTCGGCCATTCTCCTCGTCACTCAATGGTCCAAGCACCTCAGCTGAGTCTGGATCAGGTTCTATCACTATGCCATCAGGCGGGTCAGATAATAATCCACACACCAAAGCTCTTTGACAAGCTGGTGACAAAATCATTCAGATCACCATGTGGCGTAATTGGCACTAGATATTTCTGTCAGAAATATTCTGTGTGTGGATTGTTATCTGACCCACCTGGCCATTCACTGCTGATTGATGCTGTCACAAGCCTGTACGTACGTATTGAACGGCCCCGACCCAGCACACGGCGACTCAGGATATAGCAGAGGAAGTGGACAAAGACAGACAAAGCTGAAAGAGTTTCTTGGCATCGATGGGGCTCATCGTGGTTGTGTACCTAGAAAGCGATGAAGTATGTGGAGCATTATATTATGAGAACTGATCAACACGCATCCCTTATTAAGCTACACGACGATATTTGCTGAAGGAAGATAGCATCACAAGGGATTTGCGTTCCAACAAGCATCCATAACTAACACACGATAAATGTCCGGAAATATGCTGTCCTCTCAAGGGAACAAAGCGTGGATAATCGTCTTGCGTCTTGCACTAAACGAGGCCCCGGAAAGAGTGGATAATGACTTCTTGCATCATGCCTGTGCACTTTGTTTGGAGAAAGCTTTGTTGTCTGGAATCATCTTGCTTGTTACTCCTATCCTCCAAGAGTCATTAAAAATATCTTTGGGAGCTTGTCAGTTTGGTCGGCTTGTGCATTTTGCGATGCCTTGAATGGAAGTTGCACAAGCCCCCCAACTCTCAGGATATTTGAACAGCTGATAAACATATTGCAAGACACGTTGAGAAACCACGATGCCATTTCACGAGCTAGTAATGCTGCAGATATCGACCCGACAAGGTTTACTTCTCGATGCTTGCACGTTGGTCCTAATCTATGGGCAGATTAGTATCGATCGATGTCTGAGGTAGCTCACTAGCATTTCCGGGGCTTGTATCCGTAGTCCCAGTAGGTACGGATAGGTCTCAGACCAGCCCACCACAGATCTTGAGCAAGTGTCCATGCTGTTCCATCGGTCGGCCACAAAAGCAATCATAGAGTCGCATCAGCATGAGGGAAGAAGTGAGGGGAGAGTGTAGCTAGTCTCGATTAAATTTAGTCTCATATTTGGTAGACATCCTTATTTCCTGCAAAATACCATTTCGACCTCAGCCAAGACTTCTAGTGTCAAATCGACTGCTGATCAGAGCCTTCAGAGGCATATAGAATTGTCCGAAGCAAGCAGCCCAGATCAATGTCTGACCCAGGAGAACACGTCTTCATTCTTTTGGTACAATCTAGAGACATGCAACGGAGCTTCAGACAACTGGTCGCTAGGCTCGAGCTATTGTTATTTCTTATGAGAAAGTGGATTGGTGTTGTTACACAAGCAAGCTCTTATACGTATTGGGTTATGATCGTCGATTTATGAAGATCCCCTCGACAAAAATCCAAACCACCCAGTCCTTGGAACCCGGCGTTCAAGGAGAGATGACGCTCTTCAGTTGATAGTCAAACTCTACCAATCTTGATGTACGTTTGTTGCGTACAGAGATAACCTTTGACCAATGAACGCTTCGCCCCGTCGATGTGAGATAACATGCAAAACACAGCACTTATTGACGGTACCGATCTATTGATGCTCCCTTTTACCATCCATCACATGTGATATAATTCTGTCCTGCATCCATAGGAGGCCGTTCTGATACATGAACTATTCTAATAAGCTCACAGAATCTACGTCAATCACAAATTTGACATTCCAACCCATATCCATTCCACCCAGTGGTTCACCTAAAGACCAGGACATGAATGGCTTGGCCGCCTTACCCGATGGGCTTGATCGTGCAGACAGATCAGAGGCAAGGATGGCAGCGCCGAAAGCCCCGGGTCCAAAAAGGGAACAGGTCCTACTGTTGCCAAACTTTACGACTGATGACTTGCGTCGTTCGCTGGCGGGAGTTGAGCGCCTCTTTTCTTGATGCGTTCCCAGGAGCTTGGTTAGCATGGCTAAGCCTATCCGTTGATGGCGGCGGAAGGGCAGAGTAGAGTGAGGGGACAAGGTGTTGCGGCCAGGATCCACGATGGTCGCAAGAGCTAAGCATTCTCCCCAGTCGTTTGACGAGGGGCCCTTGTATGAGTGTCAGGGGAAGGGGTGTGCGTCAGAGAGCAGGGGTCTGGAAGACTCGGGACAGGGGACATGGGACTTCGATCCGGTGGGAGAAACTCAACCTTTTTTAATGGTTAGTGCAGCTAAAGAACGTTAGCTCTTGGAGAAAAAGGAAACCAGTACGACTTCTTTCAAGCTGAATCAATAGAAGCAGGGGATTTTGCTACGCATAGAAGAATAAGATGAAAAGAGATTGAACAAGACCGTTCCATCGTCATCTCGAAGATCGCCGCTTATGCTCTCCCGCTTACTTACAACCGACCATGCCCAAAGTTCTAATATTTCTATACTGCAGTATCAAGCAATTAAACCTGGGGAATGCTCAAGGGGTCTCTGGTCCGAAGAAGGCACAGACAGTCAAAGACGTTACTAATGGGTCACAGTGCAGCGTAATCGACAGGGGTATCGGAGCAATCCTACAGCACATGAGAAGCGTAAGGTATCACAAAAAGCATTATTGGATAGAATTATCGCAGTGTCATGGATCTCACCGCCTAGAGATATACTGTTGGCCGTATAAACAATTATTGAAAACCATCAATATAAGCCCGGTTATCCCAACTTGGGCGTTCTCACTGAGGGCTCGCTGATGACTCTCACAGGATCCACATCATAAAAAAAGAAAAGCCCAATACTGATCTGCACTGCATCTTGAACCGTAGATGCGGGAGTGCAGCAGGGGACCCTTGGGTTCCGAATGTGCACGGAGACAAGGTGTTCAGCGGTATAGAGTATTAGTGATTCGTATTGCCACTGCCGATGGATATGTGTTATACCAAATGGTAAACTATCAAGTCAAAGGTAATGGGAAAGTACTGTCGCTCATAGAATAACTAGCCTGGAATATAAGTCTTGATCGAGGAATCTTGCGGAAGTCCAATGCTTTCAAGTAAATGCTTCTCTCTACAACGTTTAAATGTCTCTGGAACATGTATCATGACGACGAATGTATTTCAGATTAGCCATACCGTTGAATCGGGGTCTCTCATGCTAGGGCAACACATGAAATCTTGGCAGGGGAGATATGGGACACGGCATTCGAGCCTCGTTCTTCAATGTCCAGGTCTCACAGGCAGAGAAGATTTCAGGCATCCCTTGAAAGATCAACTGTTTGACCAGTTATTGGCGTTCCAAGATTGGAAGTTGCTGAACAACAAGTTCTTCGATATGACGCTAAAATCGGTTGTTTCCAGTCGCCCATCACCCGGCTTAGTCCAGACGTGTTTTCTCGATCTCTTATTCAGAGACTTTTCTGTATGACGAGACAAAGCAAGGAGTATGTGAAATCCCATCCCAAACGAAAGACTACCCGAAAATCCAGCCCCCCTTGGGGTGAAACGAATTCTGCATTCCGTGACTATTGGGCGCTGGTGTTGCAACCATCGAGCCCTAACATTGAGGTGAAGTTCTAGGCTCTGGCAACTGGAGTCTCGACTCACAAATGACCATTCCCATGCCGGGCTCGTCTCCGCGAACTTGTTGATTTGAGGAGTAACGCGGACCCAATCGCTGGTAGTCGCCGAATTGCAAAAGACATGCCATTTTCAACTTCGCTGCGGCCGAAAAAGACAAGTTCAGGGTCCAGCTTAGACCACAAGACCTTCACAGCCATTTTTCTTCTTGGTATGCCTGGGCCGAGATTTTAAAGGTCCGTGTGTACCTGGACGCCCTGGTGAGGGTCTGCAGAAGCCAACTGACTCTTTGAGAGGGCAGTGGAAGGTGTTCGCCTGCCACGTTGTATGCGTCCACTCACACTCCTAGTAGACACACTTCTCCCCTAAGTGACTCTCCAAATAACGTTCTTGCCTAGGACCTACCAGGATCACTGCACCTTAAACACCCCCATTACGACAACCATCATCATTAATGTCAAGCATCATCTGCCCTTCATCTTTGGGCCACCAGGGACGCCTTCCGGACGCCGTCCCCGTTGTGCGTTCGACGCCTTCAGGGGTTACAAGAGAAACAGAGTCCAGCTGGTCGGATCCCGCCACTGCCACAGCCGGGGTACCAGGGTTACAGATGGCTTCTCCAAAAAGAACAGCCATGACCAAGCCAGAGCAGAAGCCAAAAGCGGCCGTCAGCCCGTTCCTTTGGAGAATCATTGTTGTTTGTTTGAGAGGCATGAGCTGCTGGCCGGAAGCCCAGCGGTTTGGCAGTCTAGCCATCCCCGGGATCTGAAAGACGAGGTTTGGCATTCACAGAAAGGAGAATGAGGTGGTAGTGTAATGGAGTGTCCCAACAAATGATGACCTCGGAGACCAAGAGCCACAAAGGGAACTGTGAGCTGTCAATGGAGTATAAACCCATGAGTAACAAGAGGAAAAACGTCAAAGTGAAATTTGTACTCCATCATGTAGGTAGGTATTTTGCGGGAGGGATTTGCGTGCCATCCACTCAAAGCGAGCATCAGCCGCCTTCCCACCCCCTGGTACCCGATCTCGCCCAAGCCACACAGTAAAAAGTAGGGACGGGGATGGAGATCCCGTGTGCCAGAACACAGTAGACGATGATCAACAGAGCCAAACATCTAACTAGACCCGGATGTCAAAGAAGGAAGGCTGGGAGTCCGATCTATGGCTTTTGTGATTTGAATTGTCGTTGAGGCTTGATGCAGACAGACTTCTACACCGGCGAACCATCTTGCTTCGATGAAGCTCAATCTCGATTACTCGCGACCGTAGCAAGTCGCAAATTATGGTTACAACAGACGATTAATGAGCTGAACCGCAGTAAATGTACTTTGTCGTGTAGCGCATTGCAGGATTTTCGTGGTGCATGGTTTCCGGCTCTCCTCTTTCTCACTCCGTCCCCAGGTAGGCCGGAGAGCATTTGTCTTTTCAGCTTACGCAGGTACTTGAGTACTTGAATCCTTGATAATGGTTGAGGGGAGTTATCCCACACTGGTCTCGTTGCCTCTTGTCTCCCCCAGTTGAGCATAACTCGCACAATTGCTTGTTAAGTTGATGTTTTGTACCTTCAATGACTGTCTCGTCCTTGGTTGTACCCACACCTGCAGAGTTTCCGCCCATGCCATTTCAGGTCTCACCCCTGCTCTTCTTTCCGGCTCCAGGTCCGGCCTACTGGTGGTGGTGGTACCAGCAGTCAGTCCAGTCATCCAGCTGCCAATGCCCAAGGTGGTGGGCATCCTCGTCTAGAGATGTGATGGAAACCACTAATAGATGGATGCAATGCCTGTGTGGTGGTCATGACAAAGCCCTCGTTGCTATCACAACCAACCTTGCTCTGAATTGACTGCACGCTTCCGTCTGGTTTCTGAACTTTAATTCTATATTCCCCTCATTTGCCCGCAGACAGCAGCAGTCAAATATGATGATGTCTTGTAGTCTCGCAAGCTGTAGGAAGTACTTGACTAGGTACTTGGCAGTATGTACAGGAGGTACTTCAGCTTTCTCAGGTCGGTCTTGGACCAACACCTGGGCCCATGAATCTTTCAGCCCTCCCGCGCTAGTCGGTTTTAGTGCCAGTTGTCTGTCCTGAGAGATCCCGTCTCAGAGAGGACCTAGCAGGGGTGAGTACTTCTACTAGACCCAGATGGACGCCAAGGCGAGAAGCTACGGCCTGGGCAATTGAGGGCCCCTGCTAGTGCTCTAGTCTCGCTAGTCTCACTCTGTTTTAGCTAAGGCTAGACTTGTTTTTGCTGGTCATGGCTCAGAGCTGGCCCCTGCGCTCGTTCACTTTCATCTCGTTCCCCTGCTCAGCTCTCGCGCCGCCGTGGCATTAGTAAATGCTTCTTGCATCGAGACAGAAGCCCTGACCAGATATACATATTACACCAGAGAACGCCAAAGCGCCACTCTGGGTAAAGAAACCTTATTGAAAGCCTGTGGACTTTTCATTGACGACACCCCAAAAACCCCAGTCAACCCCATCATCCCGATCCAATCTCTAGAACATCGTGACTACTTTCAGCTAACCCAGAGGTATTCATCTACCTTGATCCTCCTCCATTTTTCAGCTTGTCTTTTCTCCTCCTTCTTTCTTTTTTAAATTCAAGCTTTCCAACCGTGCTTCCCACTCATCTTTGGCCTTACACTGCCTGCCACTGTCCTTTGCGTTTTGTCAACGTCGTTTAAAGTTCGTCTATGAGATCAAGATCACTTCACACGGCCATATCTTTGTATTCCACCGAGCTATAATACACACCACGTATCTACAACTTACACACGAAAAACTCACAGCCACCTCGCAACGTCAGTGATAGAGCAGTGGCGGAACACGACCTCTCTTTGGTCTGAGGAGAAGCCTTTCCAAGAGTCATTCTCCCAACACAAATTCGCCATCTGGGCTCCGACCTCAACACAGGAAAAGAACTGCTTAAGTTCCCCTCTTGCATAAAAAGTAACTTTTTTCGGGAACGCTTCTCAGCCCATCATCATCGTGCGGAGATTGTTCATCAGCAATCTTTATTTCTCGCGCCGCCCGGCTCTATATATCCCCTTGGATACCCTTTATATTTCTGCGTGGCCACTTTTACCTCCGGCAACGAACCAAGCGTTGTCAAACTCTTGCAAACCACTCCAGGTTTATGTCAATGGAGGGTACTAGCTTCTCTTCACGGCGTCCCGCCGCAGGCGCCCTGCCTGCCATGACTTTGCCACCGCCGACAGCAGATGTTCCAAGTATGGCCAAATTCCCCGTCTACCCTTCTTTCACAGGTAACTCGTTAGAGTCCTTTCAGTACTCCCGGGAGGGCGAGTCGGTTGGGTATTCATATCCGCCGTCTTACTCTCCCCTTCCTGGTCCCTTTCCAGATCGCCGCATTTCATCTTCGCCCAGTATTCTGACCCCTTCGCCAGGAGCCAGCGATGGCCTGAGCCCCAGTCTTTCTAGCGTCAATACCGGCAGTTCCCAAGGTTCTCAAGCAACAGGCAACATGTATCAGTATGCACAACTTCACGGCGCATGGCCTACACCAAGCAATTCGTCGTACACCGTCAGCTCCGCGACCCAGGCGCAGCCAGCCCTTGGCCAACAGCACTTCGCTGGGCGAAACCACTCCATTTACAGCCAAGGTCCCGGAATGCATCAATATAACCACCCACGAAGTTCTCAGTCGCCGGCTACTGGAGGTGAAGGACTCCCAGCACCCCCTTACGATCAGGTGCATCAGCCTTTTCAGACTTCGGTCTCGGGTGGAGGTGGCCAGACCACTCCACCAGGCCTCTCGACATCTCAGCAGCCACAGGGTGCAATTTTGACTTCGCAAAACGCGGTAGCAACGCAACCTCCTACTCCTTCGAGCGTGTCGGCACACGTCGATTCATATACGCATTCGAGGCCCCCCAGCACACCGAATTACTATACATCATCTGCACCTCAGCAGTCTAGCTTTCCACCATATGGCCACCAACCTTCGCCGACCCAGCATTCCCCCTCTAATGGCGGCCCTGTTCCCAGGGGCCTTGGATCGATCTCAGGCCAGCCGCAAGGTGCTGGCATGGCACCCCCTGGCTCCTATCGGCCATACGCCTCTTACCAAACCCTTCCTACCATGGGAGGACCAGCGGTCATGTCCAATATTCACCAGCCTGGAAGCCAAATGTCAATGATCTCAGGGATGCCCGTACCTCCATATGGGCATCCCATGCTATATGGGGGCCATGGCCAGCCTCCACCGACACAGTCAGAGCGGCCTTTCAAGTGCGACCAATGCGTTCAGTCGTTCAGTCGAAACCACGATCTCAAGAGACATAAGCGAATCCATCTGGCAGTCAAACCATTTCCTTGTACGTTTTGTAGTAAAAGCTTTTCCAGAAAGGATGCTCTGAAGGTAAGCAATTTGGCTGTGCTATCAATACGGCCCTTGATTTCATCATGACATTCATGGCACTCGCTAACTCTGCTATAGAGACATCGGCTTGTCAAGGGCTGCGAAAACAAGGCCAACGAGGCCAACGGTGATGGTAATGGAGCAGATCGCAGTGGGGAGGAGAACGATAGCCCCGATGTCAAGAGGGAACAGTAAATCCGTATCGCAAGGAGTTATGGTTTTAATGCGCGATACCCATGTTTCGAGATGACGACAACTTCACCACCTGGTGTCACGAAAGCAACAATCCTGGTATCATAAGGACAGGTGGTTATCCTGGACGCCTGTTTCGAGGCACACATATCTAACATTCGCTCTGGCACTTGAACAAATTTTCATCTAATATCTATCATATAATATCTGCCAGGCTTATCATGGGAAAAGAAGGCGCTGCAGGGTCAGGAAAGATTGGAATATCGGCGTCAAGGCATGCGGAACGGAGCTCAGGTGAAGGCAGATTTTATCGACGGGTCTACGTTAGTGTGTTTATACGACAAGAATAACGGCACGAACAAGGCGGGCTTGGGACGGAACTTTTACCAAGGCAACGGAATTGGGCTTCAACAGGATGGAAATACGTTTCAGTATCACGGCTGTGTGAAGCATGTGTATATATTTGGGTCAAATGGCGTTGTGCCCCTGACAGGGCGGTCTTGATGGGATGGGTAGAATAAGTGTTGCTGATTTAAGATGTATATCACGGAGACTTTCTCCAAGGCATTCGATTGGAACTATGGTCTCTTCATATGATCATGCGAAGAAATGCGAAGCACCATGATGGATTAGTTTTCTGTGCGAACAAAGAGCGGACTCCGGGATTTGTCAGGGTATGAGACTATTGATGTGGGCTCTCGGCGATTGGTCGAAGGTCTTTATCTGGTTTCAGTTATTGAAGCTATCGAATATGGGTTCCGGGGTAGGAATGACCTGCACAAACACTGGAGAAACGCTCGGCATGGGGATTTGGTCAGCCAGCCACAGTAAACTACAATTATGCCTAAGGACGAGCAGTACTGGAATCCGAGTTCGGGAAGCCTAAATGTGAAGGAAACGGTTGACTAGCCCGGACTCATGTCCAACAAGAAGTCTAAGCATAGACGGCTCAGTAGTGGATTAAAGGGGACATGAGGGCGCCAGATGGGTCTAGATGTAGTGACATGTAGATCTATCATGCTGATATTGGGATCCAAACTCCAATTGAGTTCGGAATTTGAAGCTACATTGCAAAGATTGCCTCTGGCGAGATCTATGGCGGTAAAAGGGAGTGATCGAGACCGCCCTCCTCCCGAGCTAACGTTCTAGAGCTAACCAAGTACCGTGGTTTGCACGATATGAAGATCCATATGGTCTGTATTCCAGAGTTGCTCTTCCCTTCCTTGTTGCAATACCTGGCCCTCCGCGTACAAAGATGGGAATAGAAGTACAACCCATCTCGGCCCTTCGCTTTGGAACTATTCAACTCTGACTGGCACAAGCCTTTGCTATTGGCGTTGGAAATTCGTGAGGTTTGATGGGGGTTGTCCCATTTGGGCTGAACTTTTGTTGTCTCTCAGAAAGAAGGGACAGGCTCCTGTAAAAAATGATTGTGGTGAGTTACTCCAAATGTTGGTGACAGTGAAAGGTCAAACGTGATTCTGTCCACCAAGAAAATCCCCGAAATTTAGACAATGACTACTCCCTAGCACAAATATGTAGTTAATTTCGAAGTCAAAATGGTTGTTTTGGTTGTGGTATGCTACTGGAAACATCTTGTAATGGAATCCTGCGCTGAAAGGGGGTGAATTTGTCGAGGAATAAGACTCGTGTTTGTAAGAGGAGAGCTTGTTCGTGGATGATTGCACCGTGGGCTAGAGCAAAGAACAATCAAGCTTTCTGTCTAAGACCTTTTTGCTTACCCATTGGTGATATCTTCAGAATTTCGATAAACTGTGAATACCCTCATTTCCGACGGCTCTCGCCGCCTTCACCAGGTGGCTAACGCTTATCGCAGCCCACCCGGAGGATGAGGATCTAGCCCAAGACCCTGAATTAAACCGTCAGATGAGGTAGAAATGTCAAACATGCTTGTCGGGTCAGGCGCAAGGCGCTGCAGAGCGCTTGGCTCCAAGGTAAGACTGCTGAAACTAACCTCTCGCCACCGAATGTCGAAAAGAGGTTAACTCAAGCCATAATTGCCTTTTTCGACCCTGGCCAGCACCTGACTATACCCAAGCATCTATGAAATAAACTTGCTACAGGAATTTATGTTGGGGCGTTTGAGTGTACGGGGAACTGCACAAGTGAAGGATGGGTTGCTATGAAGGGCGCACAAGACCTGTACTAGATCCTGGAACGGCGCGCAGCGAGCTAGTGAAAAAGGGTGAGTAGCGGAGAGGCAAATTCAGTCGATCTTGGAGGCGATGGGGTGTATTGGAGCGGGAGTGCATGGTCCGTGGAAGTGAAGTGTACATGTGTGGCATCTTCCGTCGTTTTTGCAAGTCAGGGCGTGGTCCGACAGCTGCAGAGTGGGATCACAGTCGAAACTGGGGTGATGTGGTTCTAGACAGACAGCCACCGATCTGGCATGGCGTCGAGGCTGAAGGCCCGAGTACAGATGTAAGACTCGGCTTCGCACTGGTACGGTATGTGCACACACGTTCTTCAACAGGGTTCACGCCGGACATCAACGCCAAAATACAGACAATGCTCGAGCAGCAAAGAGTTAGCTTGAAACAAATTTGGTCAAACCGTCGCTATTCATGCAATTGTTTCATAGCACGGACCCAAGATCTAACAGGGTTAACCTTTGTTCATGGTCAAATGCAGACTTCGAATGTGAACTGAGCCAAGGGGGGTTTGCACGACGGCAAACTATCTCTGGCCAAGACTGGATTGTACCTTATCAGCCCGTGACGTTCTTGTGACCGTGAGAATAAATGTGCTCAAGAGCTTGGACGACGTTATGTACGGAGCTATCCTTGCTGGCTGGCCACGGCAGCTCATGCATCTGAGAGGTACCTCGTCCTCTCTGATGATGGCATTCACTCGGGTGTTTCTTTCACCCCCTCTCTCTTCTTTCCGTTCGTGTCCAGTAATAGTTCGTGTCATATTCACAACAGAACTTGTTTTCCCCGACATGTCTGAGACGAGGGGCTCACGTTGTGGGTGCTGATCAGTCGGGGAGCGGAAGTTTGCGCATACGAGATGTTATTTGCATCTCAACCATACAAACAAACATACATGTCCACTCAACAAGTTTGTATTTTATTCTCGTATTGGCCTTGCGTACTGCTATCGCGTATCCTGAAGCTGGGCTTGACAAGCTTCCATCACAGCCTTTCGTATATCGGTGCTCTGTAATGTTCAGTGGTTGCCCTCCCCAGTGTCGTAAAGAGGAAGAGTGCGCCACCCCATGACTTTATTTACTTGATTCCGATTGGATCACTAATAGGCCGTTGTTCTCCCCACGTCGATGTGATTGTGTATCTTCACTTGCGTTGAAGACAACCATCCAGTCACGGCCTCACTGGCCGTGTTGGAACGGGTAGACGGCAATTCAGCTGTAGTAGATAATGCCATTGAGATATTTGTAGAATTGAAGTTACTGTGGGAGTATCGGGTTGTGATAAACTACCTATTGGCTGACTCACGGACCATGAAACTCTGTGAACTGGCTTCATACTTCAACCCTGTTCGTGACAGGGCAGATGAAGAAGCCCACTCAAATACCAGCAGAAGGCCCTTTTGCTGCGTTAACCTGCACGAGTATTCAGAGAGGTGACTATTTGCCTTTTGAAGTTGAGAGTTATAACTTTTGCCTCGACTCCAAGTGCATCATCAAAACATGTCACGGCCCAGACCGAGCCCTCCCGCCTGCAGCCTTCCGGTCTGATGCTACATCAGGCTCAGATTTCGGGATGCATGATGAGTTCCATGCACTCTGCCGACATTAAACTACCCGGGTGGTGTGATCGGTAGGAAATAAATCCTCCGCTTAGTGTCGCGGGAACTGGCAATGATGGCGGATGGTTGTGTAACCTGATAGTCGAGTCTACGGGAGGAGGCATCCAAGGGGGTGTACCAGGTCCGATAGCTTGTATGTTACTGGTAAGAATTAGGGATACCACAAGCATCTTTCTAAGTATTATATGTGTCTCCATGGTTGTTTCCTCCGTATCACCTTATGTATGGTACCAACTACTCCATCATTAGTGCAACCATCACTGACAAAACATGGCTTCATGAGATGTGGGATATTTCATGAAGAAAAGAAACAATTAAATGAAATAACGAACGAGGGAAAGCTGTATCGCTACCACTTTCTATTATGTGTACTCTAGATCACGACAATTCGCTACTAGGGTCATGCCAGAGTATATAGGAATCGAATAAATTGGTTGCTGGGACTTGTGATGGTCACCGCACGGGATCAGAACTCCCCTGGTCCCAAATCAGTATCAATATATTTTTCATTAAAGCTTGGAAGCTATCTATCTGTATAGATGGTGCTGTAGGCATGCTTTGCTCTCATGCATTGCTCCTTTAAAGTAGAGATACGTAGGTCAGAAAGGTATCATCCCCGGATACGAGTCTTCTAATCTCAGCTTCCATTCCTTCATCAACCCTGGCATTCCTTTAACCTTAAGTAATTAGTTAAGTAACTACAGTGCGATTGTACAGATACGGGAAAAGCATCATCTTAATGAACGCTTTTGATATCGTGGGCATCCAATATCCTTACCATAGCCACATGGCGCAAAATGACTATGCTTGGATCATTTGTTGGATACACTCACCAATGGACTAGCAGAAACACCTGCCTTTTTACCTCATGTTGAAGCCTAAACTTGGAGCTATGTTTTGATGACTTGCCATGAGACGTACGCGTGAAGGGACGCGGCGACACTCAGTGATATGTTACCATGCATGGGTTGGAACTTCCAACGAATACAATTATCAACACTAATCCTCGAAGCTCCCGTTAAATTATTTTAAACATGCTACGGATTGCTAATTACAGTCGTAGCAATGGCCAGAGTTGTGGATTCCGAAATATCGCAAATACCCAGTTGAAGGTCATTCACTAACATATCTGAACGAGATCAAACCTCCTCCGACGATGCAGAAGGCTTCAAATAGCCATAAAAGCCCTCTAAAACTTACCAATCGTTATTATA